TCATTTGATATCGGTTTTATGCTAATTTTAAAATATCATTTACATACTCATTTCGTAAGTTATTTATACTCATTTGATATTGGTATAATACTCATTTTAAAATGAGCATTACACCATACATTTCAAAATGTCATACTCATGCATATTGGTGTAATGCTCATTTTAGTTTTTTCGATGCTCATTTCATAGGTTATGCATTCTCATTTACTATTTGAGCATACTGGAGATTTTAAGTGAGTTTTTTGAATTTTTCCGATACTCGTTTTGTAAGTATGTATGCTCATTTTATCTTGGTGTAATACTCGTATTGTAAGTTACTTATGCTCATTTGATATTGACGTTACTTAAGTTACTTATTAAGTTTTTATAAACCAAAAAATAATTAAAAAAAAAATGACTTAGAAGTTATAAACAGATATCACGATTCTGATTATTAAACTTCTAATACTCAACATAATAGGTCTGATGCTCATTAAAAGTTCATTAATGCTCATTAAAAGTTCATTAATGTTCAATTAAAATGTCGTGATGTTCAACTAACAAAGCAACTAACAAATTCATTAATACTCATTTTGTAAGTTATGTATGCTCATCTGGTGCTGATCTTATGCTCATTTTGTAAATGTCATATCAATGCATTTTTAAAAGTACTATTCTACATTAGATTCACATATTGAAATTCATAGGAGTTGATTATAAATATAATGTAATTAATTTTTATAAAAGAAAAATAACAAAAAGAAAGTGAATTAAAAGTTATGAAGCAGAGATCACGATTCTGAATATTGGACTCCTAATACTCAATATAATAGGATTGATGCTCATTAAAAGTTCAATATTACTCATTCTTCAGAAGTCGTGATTTTCATCTCAATAGTGGAGGTTGATGGTCAATTAAAATGTCATGATGTTCAACTTACAAATCTTACGATTTTCTTATCAATGTGCACTTTGTATATTACGTATGCTCATTTGGTACTGATGTTATGCTCATTTTTACAATGTCATATAAATGCATATTTTAAAAGTATCATATTACATTACACTCGCATATTGAAATTAATAAGAGTGGATTGTAGATATAATTTAATAAGTTTTTATAAAAGAAAAAAAAAGATTAGAAGATATGAAGCAGAGATCGTGATACTCATTGTTAGCATCCTAATACTCAATAAAATAGACCAGATGTTCACTAAAAGTACAATATTGCTCATTGAGCATCAAACGCCCTCCATAGAGTACAATATTGCAATTGAATACACATAATTTAAAAGTCTCATTTGAGTATAAAAACATTCTCATTGAGTATATTGTTTTCTACTATTGAGTATCAAGATTATGTGTAATGAATATTAGAATTCTTAAAGTGTGCATACAAAATTTCATTTAGAATCAAAAGCATTTTCAATTGAATATCATGTTTTTTTACTACTTTAGTTCTTTTTGCCACGGTCAAACCAGACCAAACACAAATTCCAATGATATCTATTGCAAGCAACCTCTACTGGATTACAAAAGTGCAGGAAATAAGCAAAACTATTGAAAATTTAATTACAAAGAATTGAAGTTAAATCATATTCGGATTTACCATAAATTAATAAATATTCATGTTAAATTAAAAATAGAAAAATTAAACATTAACACATTAAATATTCATCATAAATTGAAATCAATGAAAAGGTAGTTAAGATAAAACGGAAAGAGAAATAAAAATGAAAACTACTTACAAGTTACAAAGCAAAAGCAGGTTAAGGTGGTTGAGAAAAAAAGAACTGCCGAGTGCGGACATAGTCCACATACACACAGGGAAAGAGGCGAACGGAAGAAACAGGGAAAGAGGCGGACGGAAGAAACAGGGAAAGAGGTGGACGGAAGAAGGAAGATCTGATTATAGTTCTTCAAATTAGAAAAAATTACAAAAATACCGGATGTACATGTATATCCGGGTGTACGGTATAGGCTCTCCCAACAACCCCTCTCCTTTACAAAACAAGGAGAGCTCTTGACGCATGCGGGAAGAAGAATGGAATGCCTCGATCTTCGGCCGGGTGGTGTTTGAGGTTGTTTTACTGGATTCCGGGGTCGAAAGCCTCTCCTGAGTCCATTTCCAAGCTCGGATTTGTGATTGGAATGATGATTCAAGACCAACGACTCAAAATCTGATCTAGTGTACTGTTCACCGTCAGGCCGTGTTTCGTTAATTGCTTCGTTTTAGGCGTATAATCCCTGTTTTTTTTTGTGTGCTTAGTGTTCGCCGTCCTCAGCCGCACCCTGTTCTTGAGCGAGAAGAGGTTGGGCAGCTGATTATTTCGAATCACTGTTCATCTTCGTTCTTGCTGAGACCGGCTATGGTGAGGAAGAAGCAGGTCGAGTCATCTACAGTAAGAAATACCAGGTCCAGGTTTGCTCTTCTAGCATACAACGAATTTACATGAGGTTGCTGCTGCCTCGTTTTCTACTGCAGGTGCTGATATTGCTACTGAGGCTGAGTCCTCCATCCAAGGTGCAGGGATTTTCGCTGAAAAACTGGTCCAAAAATCTGTCCAAACTGCTATTAAGGAAAATGCTATTAATGCCCAGAATGATGAGCCTAATGTTACTGCCACTAATAATTTGCTGGAAAATGGGAAAGTAGGAGAGGTGGACATTGTGCTGCCAACTAAAACTACTGCTAAAACTACACAAGAGCATGCTTTGACAGTCCCTAAAGATGTGGTTAAACCTTGGCCTACACTCTTTAAGGACAATAGAGCCCCATCACATGGGATCAAACTGAACTATGTTCCTCCTAAAGGTAATACCTTGGACTTCTCTAATAGAGTTAAGCCATCCATGATTGAGATGTGGGGTACTGTCTTGGAAGGATAGGATGAAGATTTCCCCTCCTTGAATGCTGCAAATTTAGTGAAGCTGGGAGAGAAGAATCAACTTGGGAAGACTCCAGGGAACTCTCGCAAAACGAAACAGAACAGAGCAGGGAAGAGGGAGAGAAAGAACGAGGTGAACGCCGGAGAAGACCTTAGCGACGCCGGAAGGAAGAAGGAATTCGTCGGGATGTTATTAAACATGGAGTATATGGAAAGGGGCTTGTGGTGTTCCATGAATTTATTGGGGCGGTGGTGTTTTAGCGCAGGGAAGGGGCTTCATAACGGGGTAAGGATGGTTTGAACGGGGAAGTTAGTGGGTGGTTAGATATGAGGGTAAAAGGTTTAAATTGTGTTTACCTGATCCACCAAAAAACTGAATGTCATGTCCGAACTTCTTAGTGTCACTTTTAACCCTTTTCCCTTGTAAAATAAATTGAAGATTTAGACCTTATCATCTTTTTAGTTAATAATGAAACGCGACTAAAATTGGCAACAAAAAATCACTTAATTATTTAACATATTGCAATATAATATTTCAAATTTGCAATATATCAAGTAGGGCTGAGTCCGAAAAACCGAAAACCGAAAACCGAATCAAATTAAACCGAACCGCAACCAAATAAAACCGAACCGCTAAGAAACCGAAACCGAATGTAAAAAACCGAACCGAACCGAAGTTGTTCGGTTCGGTTTTGGTTTTTACCCTTCAAAAGCGAACCGAACCGAACAAACCGAACTATTGAAAATATGAAATTTATATGTTAATTGTTAAGCATTAATTCTAATTAATCTTAATATTATCAATAGTATTTGTTTTTCTTTGGTTTTCGTGTGTTAGAGAAATAATGTTTGTGTTATGTTTAATTTAATTTAGTTTATAAATTCATTTACACATTCATTGTCTGTAATAATAGCTATATTGAATGATGATCATATGTGTTTACTAGTTATTAGTAGTAATTAACTTTTATTTTTAGATAACTTTAAGATTTTATATTGATTAAACAATAAATATTAATCTCAACTATATCACATAGAACACAGATATTCATGAAAAATGTTCAAACTACTCACAAACAAATTAAATCAATAATATATACAGTTTTATCTAGCTTGCATACTCATATAATTCAAGACATATTTATCTCTTCTCATTTTTATTTTATTTGTCGTTGTATTGTGCTTGAATTCTTTAGGTAATATGTTTGATCCCTCTAAGTATATATTATATCAATTTTAAATCAAGTGAAAAATTTTTGGTAAAAAAACCGAAAAAACCGAAACCGAACCGAAACAAACCGAACCAATCAAACCGTGGTTCCAAGTTTTGGAGTGTAAAACCGAACCGAAACCGAACCGAACTTTTTACTTTGATTCTACATTTGGTTTTAGGTCAAAACCGAACCGCAAGAACCGAACTCACCCCTAATATCAAGAAAGACAATTTTACTTACAACCTTTTAAGAGATGAAAGGAATAAAAGATTACAAGTGGTTATGGTTATTATCGAACAAGTTATTTTTAAACTGCTCGTGCTCAATTTTGAACCTAATAAGTCAAGTTTTGAGAGCTTTAAGTTTGAATACAAGCGGGTTTTATGTTTTATTTCTTTTCAAGAAGACAATATATAGTAGTGTTCAGTTCAAGCTCGTGTCTATCAAATACCTATCTAGATTATAAGGACAAATTATTTATTACATACTCCGTACTACGTATTTATTAAAATGTAAACATCTTTACTATAATTTCTTATAATTAAGGAGAATGCCAAATATACAATTGAACGATATGTTAGAAAACAAATATACCTCTCAACTTTCATTTAGAATAATTAAACACAAAATTTGCATTGTTAGAACATGTCCAAAATGATTAAGCACTGCAAGTTTTTGATATATAACTTAAAGGTGTGTTTTGTACGTAGTAATATACTGTATAATGCAAGCGTATAAATTGTTCTAAATTTATACTGGCGTATTTAATTGTTCAAAATTGTTCAAAATGAAGTTGAAAGGTACACAGTTACATAGAAGTTCACACATAAAGCTCTAGGATACGTACATGAGCTCATTCTCAGTTTCTCACTATTTAAGAATGATTATTAATTAATCAAGCACTTAATAGATAATTCAAGCACGAGCTAAACATATGGTCATATGGAGTAATATCGAGTATATTCTAGTCAGAAAAGGTATTTTTTAATTGACATGCGAAAAGCAAGAGTTAGTTTGTGACTTTGCAAGTAAAACATACGTAATACTAGCTAGTATGATATACAGATCAAGTAAAACGTATGGAGTAACACTATTATTAGTCGAAGGATTATATAGATCAAAGTAGACCACATGCCCATTATTCGTTTCTCCTCCGTAATAAACAGCACGCTTACGGGCCGCAGCCCACGGGCCCAACAACTACTCACTTCCCAGTCCGGAGGCGAGAGCTTGCCTTATGACCTGGGCCAGCATCCCCGGCGCAGACAGGTGCGGCAAGTGCCCCTCTATGGGCAGGAGGTGCACCGTGTTCCGCCCTCCAAGGTGGTTCTTCAGGTACGTCGCCACCGATGCCGGCACCGACGCATCCTTGGCTGTCTGAATGATGTGGGAGGGACACTTCACTAGGCCCAAAACCCCCCTCAGGTCGCTGTTGAACACCGTCTGGGACACAAACAACGTGATGTCCGGCCGCATATTGAATAGTGTGCGGGTGAACTCTTGCACTGCCGCAGGTACATCCGCTCCCACCGCCAGCGGAGCAAACCCCCTCACCCATGCCTCGTAATTCTCTTGCATTGCGGAGAACACTTCCATCACCTCTTCTCGCTCAAATCCTCCATGGTAGTCCTCGTCGTTCGAGAACCTTGAAAATTTGAAACAATTCTTATCAACTTTACTGGTAAAGAAAACATTTCTAAAATGACAAAACTGCTGAATATTATCTTGAATTATCTTCTCTCACCTACTTTATCACTTGCTATTTCTTTCCTTCATTATATCAAAGTATGATATTATCAGATAGTCCGTATTATAGTATGACCACAATACATACTTTTTTGCAGCCGAGAATATTTTTAATTTTTTAATATTAAGCTCATTTGAACATAAAAGATGCTCCTTTTGGATGTGAAGAACTATGTTTTGATTCAGACAAAAGCTTATTCAATTTTATCACTTCAGTATATATGCTCATCCATATAGACTGGAATTATATGAAATAGCAACAAATTAATGAAATTCACTTCTTCAATACTCTCTTATTGTTTACATACTTAATATAAATAACAATAATAACAATAAAAGGTTTTTTTGTAGTTTCACCTTTCATAAATGTAACAATAAAAGCTACGTTTATGTATCAACTTTTATAAAAAAAACTTGTTCGTAAAGTCAAGAAGAAAGAAATATGATGCCAACAGAATGATTGATTGAGATAAAATAACATCATATAGTCAATAGTTTTTGACAACGATAGTTAAAAAAAGATGTATGGACAGCAAAAAGAGACCATATCTGACTTTAGAAATTAGATTGTACCAAATGTTCATAAACTTTTCCATCACTTTTTTATTAGGACGAATAATAGTGGAATTAACATGAAAATTAATGCTACAATAATATAATAATCGTTCTTGATTAATTACCTTGGGGAAGCGCCAATGAGGATGAGCTTGGAGAATAGATCAGGGCGGCGAATGGCAGCGAGGATTCCAATCATGGCGGAGACAGAGTGGCCGACGTAGGCGCACTGCTCGATCTGAAGAAGGTCGAGAATGTTGATGAGGTCATCAGCGTACGCGTCGAGAGTTGTGTACCGCCGGAAGTCAAAACAGTCGGGGTTGACGCTGCCAGCGCAAGCGAGGTCGAAGAGGATGATACGGTGGTTCCGTACAAAGTGAGGGAAAATAGACCGCCACGCCGACTGGTCAGTGCCGGAGCCGTGGGCTAAGACGAGGATTTTGTCGCCGGTGCCCACAACTCGCACATTCAGTGATTCCAACAAACTAGGGTGGTGACCCATCAGTTTCCTGGAGTGAGATAATATTGATTAAATTTGTGCTGAAAGGGGGAAATTCATAATTTTTAGGAAAATTCATACTACGTACATTCTAAGAAATTTCCAACATGTTAAGGAACGGCTGGAATGCGTTGCTGAGTTTTAGGATGGATTGAAAGAGGGAAATTCGTACATTTCTAGAAATTTCAATGTTACTCTTAACACAATAAAATACAAACCACCACATATAGGTTTAAAATCATGTTTAATGACAAGACAACTTTGGTGGAGTTTTCCAAAGACTACGCTTTTTTGGTCGTTTTATGAACTTAGACACAGCGATCAAGTTGATGACAAACAACTTTTTTGGTAAGGTGTGATTATATTAAGCTCTTTCAATTGGCCATAATAGGGTTTTAATCACTTCATTGTTTAATTTCCATATGTGGTCGGAAGAATAGTTAATATTCATAAACAGAATCTCAGGAGAACAGTGGTTAAAGTCAAAAGTTATATGAAGTTATTTTGGAAGATCATGAGTAAGCATTTAAAAACTGAAACAACTCTCTCCAAAGGTTCGGTTTAATGTTAACCGACTAAAAATTGCAATTAAAGAAAGTGCACATGGGGCAACTGTGGGGATGCAATCCTAGAATCTTACAAAAAACATCCTAATTTTATGTTAGCTTCCGTTCTGTTTTGTAAACCAAAAATTTACAGGGGTAATTGTTTTTTATTTATCTTCAATAATCATTGCTGAAAACATTTCTAACAATTATTTCTTAAGAGGAGGTGTGACAGTTTCAAGTTCATACTTTCCTTCAAAGCTCATTACAAATGTATCCAAAAGAGAGATGGCAAAATACAAGAACAAGCTAACTTTGAATGATAAGACATACAAAATCAGGAATGTCATATCATGTAGTTATGTATTGATTACAGGTTTGACGTCCATGGGGATGACGGCTTTAATGGCACACCGATTGTGTTTACTGTGGTTACTGCCTATGAAAACGAAGAAGGAATGTCTAGTGTCACTGAACCACTGTTTTCAAATAATTTGGTAGGTGCTAAAAATTATAGTACTCCAAAATTATATTTAAACTTATTACTGAGCTTTTTAATCACTAGCTATTTCACTTAAAGGTTGGCTGATTTTGGATAGCTAGGGATATCATTGATATCGAGACTGGAGAACACTGATACTACTTAGCTTGCAAGGAGTGCATAAGGAAAGTTTCACCTGGATATGGAAGGTTTGATTTCCCCCATCATAGAACCAATTTATATATATTTAATAGAAAGTTAAGATCAGGAACAATGTTCATGCAACACACAAAACATTACAGAAATGCTGAAAATGTCAATTGAAAGACTTATATTATATTATATTCACTTTTAAAATAGAACAGGACACAGAATATGTAAAATCATCTATTCAGTTCAACATCTATTTAAAGAGAAAAACTTAAAAGTCAGTCAAATAACAGGTAGTATCATATTTAAAGAGAAACTTGAAAGGAAGTTTTACATCAAGATTTTATTTTTAAAACCTGTTAAGATTAGATTAAATACAATAGTTAAAGCTGAATAGGCGAATTAGGAAAAGGTTTTGTTCGCAAGCAAGAAAAGATTTAAAGAAATCTACGTTGGCGGAGTATAAATCATCAAAAAACAAACTATAACTTACACAATGTAATTAAAACATAAATCAGATAGTAAATCAGATTAAATTTAAACTTTAACACAAAAGATAAATGTAACTGTGCTTACTAGCTGTCTGAAATAAGTGTCAATCGGCCAATCGATCATTTAGCTTTCTCTCTTCGTTGAGCAGCGGCCGCTCTCATCAAAATACAGATAAATCAAATACATGAAACAATTTAGGAAATTGACATCAAATAAACTTAAAACATGGTAAACTATACAGATTGGTGTTGTCAAACCAGTCGAAACGAAAGAGGAGGGGGCGATGCCGAACCTATATATATGTGGACGTGGATGGAAGGACGGTGAGACGAACAGGGGTGGAGACAAGGAGGGGCTGGAGGGGGCCTCGGCCCCTGCAAGGAAAAAATTTCTTAAGTATATATTATGTATAAATACGTTTAATCTATAGAAAATATGTTGATATTTTAAACTTTGACCCCTGAAAAGTAAAATTTTCAAGAACCGGCCCCTTTAACCAAGTTATTGGAAAATTTTCAAGTAAAATTTTCAAGAACACTAATATATTGGAAAAATTAAACCAAGTTAGAAGACGGTATAATAGAAGATTGGAAAAAGTGGGAAAGAGATAGGAAAAAAACGACCAACCTGGAGCTGAGATTGTGTGCCGTTCTAGCTGTAAAGTAAAGGAGAAAGAAGTATGATGCCAAGAGAATGATTAATTAAGATAACATAACACCCATAGTCAAAAGTTTTCGACAATAATTGTTAAGAAAGGGTGTATGGATAGCAAAAGGAGACGAGACTCGACTTCAGATTGTACCAAATGTTCATAAACTTTTTCCGTCACTTTTTTATTAATGGAAATAATGGAATACCAAATCGTTAAGCTTATTCCGAAGGGCAAATATGGGAAAACCTGGCCGCGGGGACGGCGGGAAGCGGATGGGCCGAATTGTCGAGTACAGGCGGCGGGGACGGTGGGCGGAGGGCTCGGCGGGAAGTCTCCGGCGGTCTGGAGTCCCGCTGCACTGCTTGTCGATGGAGTCCTTCACGCGGTCTGCATTCACGCACTGCTTTTCCGGATTTGGGCCGTTGGAAGCTGGGCTGATTTATTTTTTAAGTGCCCCGTGAACCTGATTTTTTTTAAGGGAATTCTATTCACAGCCCTTCTTTTATTAAATACAGTCACATTTTTTTCATAATTCCTATTATATCCTTAATGTTAACTTAGGGGGCGTTTGTTTCTTTACACATTTAAACTTTGAATGCGAATTGATTGCATGTAAAATGTAGGGAAGTAATCACTTCGCGTGCGAAATAAGAATACATTGTTTGGTTAGGTGTATATTTTAATTTTAAATTACATCGAAAGCCTTTACATTGTTTGGTTGAAAAATATAACTTTGCATGCAATGTGTAATTCAAATGTCTAAAGAACCCTTATTATACAAAACATGCTACGCATGCCAACCTTGTGACTTCTGAAGCAAATGAGAAAACAACAACATTGTATCATCCACCACCATTTACAAGATAACCTGAACAAATCATTGGCATGCTACTTTTGTTTAAGAATTGCAAAAGCAGATTCCAAAAGATAGGAGACCGTGGGTAGCAGTAATTCATGCCTAGAAATTTAAGTGGTCTTAATTTTATAAATGAAATGCAAATTATATAAAATCATAACTATACCCAAATGATCAATTGAAAAAATGATTAATTTATATAGATGAAAAGATTCTAATATCAAAAGTTCAAAACTGACTTTAGAACCCCAGATCTTCAATTTTTATGACAGTTCCAAACATACGAGAGAAATTGCAAGTTGTAATTGTAATAAGAATTATAAAAACGAAGCCAAATTTAGATAGAGGACTGATCTAAAAATTGTATGTGAACATATTAAAACTCAAATGCTTTGAATTCATCAATTTTGAGTTCAAAGAATCTAAAAACGGCTAAAAACGATCGATGAACGAAGTCAAATCCCGTTCCTTGTAATTCCAGATCAATTTTGAGTTCATTCCAAGGAATTTCAACCATCCATTCCATTAGTTGAGGTTATTCAGATCTAAAAACGAAGCCAAATCTAGATGCAAGGAATTACAACCAACCGTGTGCATATTAAATCATTAGGTCAACAAAAGTTTGATTCCAAATAAACACGGCTAAAAAAATAAGAAGACTAATTTTTTTACCTGGCTTGAGTGAGAGGAGACCAGCTAATGCTTGCTTCGGAAAGATGAGTTTGTGAGAGCAACTGAGCATATCTCTTCTACTTATACTTGCTCGAAAGATGGAATTACCGCCATCTTTTTTATTTTTGCCGCCAAAGAGAGTAGGGCTAGAATCGTCAACATCAGACGAGCGTGTTTTTATAATACGGTGTAAACCATTTTACCACCCTCCCCCCACGTAAAATAGATTACATGGTACAGTATAAAATGATTAAAAAAAGTGCCCTACAGATTACATTAAAAAATTAAACCAAACAACGTAAACAGTTTACTTTCCTAAACTTTGCATGCAAAGTGTTTAAATCACACCTAAACAAACGCCCCCTTAATGCAGCCTCCTCTGCAAATCACCGTCTAACCACAACTTTTTCGTTCTTCAACCATCCATGAATTCTACTGCTTCTAAAAATAATAATTTTGTTTTACGTTTTTGACTGCTTACGTTATTGCCACAGCTTCACCAAGACATCAATCAGGACTCAGGAACAGGGCCGTTTTTTAGGGGGTTCAATAGGTTATCCGGAACAGGGCCCCCGAATTTATGGGGCCCCAAAATTTTAAATTTCTTTTAGTATTATATAGTACGGAGTAATATTATATATTAATATTAATTAGTAAAATACAATTAGTAAGGAAGAAAAATATAGATGCATGATTTTTTCGTTGGTCCTTTTACTCTTTTTAGTTCTTTTTAATGAGTATTCAATTTATTTGAGCATAAGTATTTAGTTTGATATTTAAAAAAAAAAAGAATATTAATTTGGGGCCTCTGTTTTACATTTAGAACCGGGGCCTCCAAATTCATTAGACGGCCCTGAAGGAATTCCACGACTTATTTTCTCAGAAAGCAAAAAAAGGAATAATGAAACTGATTGCTTCCCTAACAATACAATACCTGTGTTCCCAGATTGCTTAAGTCCAGTCTTGCAACCGATTTCTTCCTTCTTCACTCACTGATACCAGTGAGAGTGGGTGACTTGCAAAGGGCGAAGGAAACTCTAACTAGTCAAGTGACTGGATTCGAGAATCATAACTCCAGAAGCAAGGGCCGCAGATCGCAGGGGAGAGAGGCTGAGCTACATGCTAGGTGACTGTTCTGGGATTTTGAATAGCCGATTGTTCTAGTGTTCTGTTTCAGAATTTCTGGGGTTTTCCTTCTCACTTCTTTGTCTTCTTCCTCAGTGGAAATTAGTTGTGATTTGCCTACAGGAGGCTGTATTGAGTTGGGTATTACTAATAAGGGCATAGTAGGAACAATGAAAAATATGTGATTGTATTTAGTAAAAAGGGGGCTGCCAATAGAATTTCCCTTTTTTTAGGGTAATTCGAAGTACAGTCCAGTTTTTACTAAATACAACCCCTAATTAAATTAAATGTCTATTATATCCATATCATGCCCCAAAACCTCTCCTCTTTGTACTGGACGGCTACCGGACTTTGGTGGTAATCCGTTTAGACAGTTGAATGTTTAGTTGTTTTGGAAAATTTGCGGTTGACCTGCTCTGAGGCGAATTGGTACTTGCACTAGGTCATGGAGAAATGAGGGACGACTAAGGCTTGCCGGCACAACGGCTAAATGTGCTATGGTGACCGGTGGGCGACATATGATATGGATTGGGTGACAACTCTCTCTTTGATTGGAGCCAGACGGGGACATACATTCATGGAAGGACGGAACAAGCTTCCTGCTCGCGTCGTTTTAACTGAAATTTTGACGTCATTCCTGGACGCCGTTCTTGAAGAAGAAAATTGTCGGCATTCCGTTGGAGTTGCTAGTTTGTTTGATCGGACGGGATGGGTTGGTCGCTTGATGATGTATGTAATAGATCTTTGCTGGTGAGCTGCGGGTTGGAGCTAATTTGTAGAAGAGTTCTAGGTAGTGCACTGCTCTATCTAGTAGTTTTTTTTTGTGCCATAGGATAGCACAGCTGAATAGGAGACCTTCCCTATTGCTGAAGTAAGAGTATGGTGTTGAATTACCATTTTGGTCGCTGCTGTAGTTTCTGACCAATCACAACATCAGCTTTCTTACTTAAGCAACAACCTTCTTGTGAAGTTATTCCCGAACGTCATTCTTGAAGATCCGCCATCACAAAGAGAGCATTGGGGACAATAATAGGGATATAATGGACATTTAATTTAATTAGCGGCTGCATTTACCTAATTTAATGGAATTACCTATTTTTAATTTTGCCAACGCCCCACCTCTATAGTGGGCCCCCCTTCTACCCAGGCTCCACCTCTATACTTTGAATTTGGATCGTTGGAGCAGGGGCACTGGCCACCCGACCCTTGCCAAATTGTAAATTATGAAATAATTTAATTAAACGGTTAAAAAAAGGGCTGTGTGTAGCAAAAACATGGCTGTTAATAGAATCCCCCTTCTGGAAACGAATCTTCAAGCATTCCTGCAGCGACGTATTTCACACATTGGATATTTGATAAGGATTAAGGACTGTGTTAAGCAAAAGGGTATAACAGGAATTATGAAATAATTTAATTAAACGGTTAAAAAAAGGGCTGTGTGTAGCAAAAACATGGCTGTTAATAGAATCCCCCTTCTGGAAACGAATCTTCAAGCATTCCTGCAGCGACGTATTTCACACATTGGATATTTGATAAGGATTAAGGACTGTGTTAAGCAAAAGGGTATAACAGGAATTATGAAATAATTTAATTAAACGGTTAAAAAAAGGGCTGTGTGTAGCAAAAATATGGCTGTTAATAGAATCCCCCTTCTGGAAACGAATCTTCAAGCATTCCTGCAGCGACGTATTTCACACATTGGATATTTGATAAGGATTAAGGACTGTGTTAAGCAAAAGGGTATAACAGGAATTATGAAATAATTTAATTAAACGGTTAAAAAAAGGGCTGTGTGTAGCAAAAACATGGCTGTTAATAGAATCCCCCAATCAAGTAGCACACATGTTAAACAGACTAGGCCGAAAAGACCCACATTTTTGTGTGGATCGAAGCATCATGAACTCACCATGCCCCATGAAAATGTGCCATTAAACATGGGCTAAACGAGCCCATCCGGATTGAGCCTGTTTCAACCATCCACCGCTAACATTTCGACACGTTGCATAAGCAGAAACCGAATTCCGGCCCCCAAACTTCTGCGGCCACTTCCCTCCCCATTATATCTTCTTCTTTCATAAAAAGCAAAATTAACGAATGTGAGCTGAAATTCATAATCTACTGTGCAGCTCTCCTTCTCCTACTGTTGTTTTCCCTCTAAGGTAGGATAATTTCCTCGAATTCTTTCTTTTTCTCTCGCTGAAGAACAATTGTTAGGATTTTTCTTTTGTTCTTATAGAGTTTTCACTGAGATCTTGATCAACTATGCTCTCCGCTGTTTATCTGTTTAGAGTGTTAGCCTGCGTTACAACTGGTTAGTGTCTATTGGTATTACCTTAGAACTATTGCTTTAGTTATTTGATTATTTCGTCCTGTTACATTCATCAAAGATGTTTCGGTTGAAGTTCAATTTTTTAGTATTTTGTTTCTGTTTATGTGTTTGTTTTACTGATTTCCATTAATATTATTTTTTTTTAAAAATTGATACATATTTCGGTTGATGTGCTTAGATTACGATATTATACTTCAACGTCTCTAACTCTGTGTTATTTTGTATGTCAAAGAACTTTATTTTAATGCCTCCTTACATTTCTCTGATTTTAGTTTACATTTTTTCTGTCTTTAATTTTATACCTGTTTTGATTTTATTGATTCTATTTTTGCAATTTTAGTTGATGGGTATGTTTTGTTTTAAAATTCTGATCACGCGAACATGAGAATTATACATGTTAACTTGCCATACTTTAATTTTATATTTTGTTCAAGTGCTTAATTGTTTATAATTTATGAATTGTGATGGGGTTCTCAAAACAAAATGCAGTGCTTGTGGCTACTCATGATATTGGCTGCTTCCATGGGTAGTGTTGGAATGATCTCAATCTTGAATGACTTAGAGTATTATATGAGTGTACAAGTGATTTGAATAATTGGATGTGTTCTACAACTAATAATTTGAACAAAGGGCGCATTTGAAATTTTATACGATTTCTCTTAAAAACAAAGACATACCATATCTAACACTCTAAGGTGAGCATGTGTTCAATGTTCCCTACTCTTCAAACACTTGAAAATATGCCTCATTTCTTTTTCTGGTGTTGGAACCAATTTCTTACGAATTAATTTCACATGTAAAATTCATACATAAGCACCAAATGCCCTCTTACTCCAAACTTTTAAGGCGGTGTTGTATTGTTGTGTATTAAGCAAGCTATATTCAGATCGCTTATCCGTTATGCCCAATGAATGGTTTTTATGCTTTTTAGTTTCTACAATAGTTCATATTGATCTAATTTCTTCATTTAAAGAATTTCAGAAATCTGCTTCTAATTGTTTTTGCCATTTAATGATAGGATTAGTGGTGTTGGAGCATTGTTGAACTGATATCATTGAAGAGAGTGTGTGTTACCCCAAAGTAATAACATTTTACTTGGCAAAATGTCCCATGTTGGACATGTTTCTGCTGTTAGCTTGAGCCCACAAGGTAAGACAGCTACCCTTTCGAACTTTCAAATATCATTTGGAGCCAGCTATTCGATGGGCTCTAAGTTGAGGTTTCCAGCTAGCAGTAATGGTGGTATGACCCGATTAGGCAGGGGGTTTCGCCCTTTGAAGGTCTGATTTACATGTTATATAAACCTGAATCAAATCCATAACATAAAATTGAAAATCTGAGTCCTATATGTAACATAGGTAGTCTGCGTGGACAGCCCAAGGCCGGAGCTTGAGAATGGAGTTAACTATGTTGAAGCTGCTTACTTGTCCTCATCATTTCGTTCTGCTTCACGCCCAAGCAAACCATTAGAAGTTGTTATTGCTGGTGCAGGTATATTTTTATTATAATTTGTCTCAAAGTCTCAAGTATATTTTCTTGTTACCTCTGCTGCTTCTGATTTATTAGAATAATATTAGCAAATACTACAC